TAGCTATATCCATCTTATACCACGACCAAGTTGCGATGATGAACTCAACTACTTCAATACCGCAAAATCAGTCTTCGACTAGAACAGAATCTACATTATCTTGGTTTTCATATCTTTAATTAATTTGAATTTGACTTTCTTAAATACAATAATACGTTATGTCTGGTTCTCTAGAAGCTTAAGTGAGTTGTGTTGGTTCGATCGTGTTTTCGCATCTTAGTTGCAGCGTCAGACAGACCTTGTCGAACATACCGAGTCATCTAAACTAACGACAAAACGAGAGGCCTTAGCCAAAAAGATAACATCCTGGAGACGGAGCGAAGCCGTAAAGGATAGACATGGTGGAGACTAGAGCTAGATGACTGACAGTAGACCTGTTTGATCATAGACGTAGTGACCATGATAATTACTCGGGGGCTTTGGCCTCAATTTAGTTTCCCAGACGCAGGGTATGGGAAATAACGCTTCTATTAGCACAGATAGGGTGGCAGCGTCTGAGTGAAATACCGTAATCAAGGAAATAGGGTACGTATCCTACGAGGCAAGAGGGAGACTGATAAGACATATGAATGGAGGACGGCGCAACAATAGGGCAGACGGATCAGCATTCCCAGCACAAAATGATGAATGGGGTGAGGAAGGTGAGAAAGCCAGCGTTGAGTGTTGAGAGTTCTAATGAAGTCCGCTCAAAAAGGCACAACATACCACATTTAAATAAGAAAGTAAAAATTGTGATAGTAAAGGGATGGTACGAGGATATAGGATTGGTGATTAGCCCAGGGCGGAAGGAGATATACCACGATTGTCTAGCAGATAATTGGGTAAAGGATCGGCTTCACTTGTCTCTGATGAGTTGTCGTGTTGTGGTAAGATTGGCAATGCTCACTGACGATACCAACTACGTTGCTGGCGAAAAGTCTGGGAATGCACCGCGTCCACGGTCCGAGTATGGAAGTTATCATCTATACAATGGACTTCGGACTAGGTTCTTCCTCTAAGTCTTCCTACCAATATGACCAAGTTGCTAAAACAAGGTCAACCCACTTCTAAACAACAAGAGGAGACTGCGACGATACTAAAGGTCACACCATCATGGTCGTCATACCTTCGAATGATTTTGATGTTTAGCAGCGACCAATTCATACGCGGATAAGTAAAAAAGGGAGGCAGAATGTAGGTCAGGAGTTCTGCACACGGCATCTGGTACTGGTGTTGGAGATGCTTGCGCTTTACTAAGCCCACTTGTTACGACACGTTCTTAGGCGACATTGGAGGAAATGAGAGCACAGATTTTTTGTAAATAAGTGTATGGGTCATATAAGTAGCGTTGAGAGTAAGAGATGAGGCACTAGAAGGCAGAACGAAAAATTGGTGTGAAGAATAATGCCTCGACGGTTGAACAGACAATTTATCAAGGGGATTGCCATCACTTGTCGTTTTGATAAGTTGTAACTTTATGCTAAGGATGGCGCCTCTCACTGACGATGCCGACTACGCTGCCGGCGAAACGTTTGGGATTGTACCCAGCCAATAGTCCAATGCTGGAAATCACGAATTCTATGGCATAGGACACGGTACTAGGTACATTCCACAAGGTCTCTGACGCTCCGACCAAGTTGTGAAAACAAGCTCGAGCCAACGCTATTGTCCAAAATTTTTTGACCTTGTTTTCCAAATTTGTTCATATTTTCGGGAATATCTAGATGAGCTAACCTTATCGGGAGTCCATTGTATGTGTGATTATTTCCAGAGTCGGACCGTGCACTTAGTACATTCTGACTGTAAATTATAATACATTCTATGGACTCCGGATAAAGTACATTCCTCTAGATCTTCCTGCCAATTTAACCAATTTGCGAAAGCAATGTCAATCAACTTCTATATTGAGATAGGAGATCTCAACCGTACTAAAGTTCACACAATCTTTGTCTTCATACCTTAGAAAACTACTTGTGCCTGTTGGACAGGGAGATGGGGGGAAGAGTAGTACCGCTGAGCAAGAGGAATAGGTTTTATTAGCTTCAAATCCGATTTTCACTCGCACATCTCACGCAACATACAAGTATTGAATGCTCGCGTTCCATGTTCATTGGGACGCAATTACACGCGCCAACGTTGTATGCTCAAAATAATAATTGATTCAGAGAGAGATCCAGTTGTTCTGACACAATTGTATCCGCAAAGCGCTCCATTTACAGCCACTTCACTTTTCAGCAAGTATGTAGGGAGAGCGTAGAATAGGTGTCCCATCAAGTGGACAAAGTTAGGCTATAAGAAGTAAGTAGGATATCAGCCGACTTTCTTTCTTGTCTTCTTACTTGGTATATTACCGCAAAACATGTTGTTCTTCTCTGACGAAAGGTCAGCAAAGATTCCTCGTGGTTGCGGAACGGTGAGCCGATAACTTATTCATATAAATTTACGGCCAGCTCCAGGACATTCCTTCTGTTTTTGGTGAGACTGACTTACAATTCTATTCCACTCTCCTCTTCAAGCAAAATGAAAAGTACTCTAACATCATAATAAAGACAAGGTCTATTCACACCATTGCGGGAAAATCCAACCACCAGTCCTTTATTACCTTACCGAAACAAAGTGATACATATCATATACATGATTTACTGGTAGTCTCTAAAACTTACTTATAAACGTAAAAAATAATAATATAGTCCATTATTATAGCAAATATGACTTTGATTTATCGACAATCTCGTTACAGAATATGATATGGGAAAATGCCTAGCCTTCCTTGAAATTCACATCCACTCTGTGACTAAGGGCGGACACTACTCATGGTAATATCGTAGTTGTTAACATGTCGAGATTTTACGCTTAATTATCACGTTTCGAGTCCTATTAGGGGTGTTGATGGGACTTGGGCGAGGTCGAAAATACAGTTCACCCTGAAGAAGACTAAATTTGTGAGAATTAAGGTTATATGAAATGTAATGGAAACGTTAGGTCTACCCATATCATTATTGGAAAATTTAACTACCAGTTCTTTATCACTTTAACAAAGTAAAGTGAATACATCTCATATATATGATCTATTAGTAGTCTCGAAAACCTAGTTATAAACTAAGTCAATGGTCCAATACTGGACATCACTAAAACTATGACAGAGGACAGAGGACTCAGTACGCTCCACAAGGTCTCCATGACGCTCCGACCAAGTTGTCAAAACCAAAATTATAAAGGTATGGAAGATTGTGACTAAACAGAAGACTACACCATTTTTTCTTCATATCTACTATCTAAAAATAATAATAGTTTGCATTACTGACAATGTGATCTGTGGGAGGCATGATTTGCCTTTGGATTTTCGTCTGCCCTGTGGCCCATTGGTACTCATGTCAATATGGTGTATCGGTAATATGTATAAAATAAATGCGGCACTACCCATTTTTGATTCCCTTTGGGTGCTGATTGGACCCAGGCAAGAGTAAAACTACAGTCCAGTTTGGATGGGAGGCAAAATAGGCTGAAATTCAACGGTCCTGTGATGCCTACTTGAATCAGCGTTGGAAAATCAAACTTTCAGTCCTTCATCACATTATAAAACCTAAGGTGACTACCTCTCTTATCTAATATCTATAGATCATATCAAAACCCGTTCATTATTAATCTAATACCATTTTCTCACTCACAAATCTCACTGTTGAATGTCTTTTTATAGCCATAATCACAGCCATCGCAAGTGCTTGCTGAATGACATAATCTCGAATATTTAAAATACCACTACACGGCAATCATGGAAGAGAGCCACCGGACTTTACTTAAATTGGTGTGGTCAGTGGCAGTAGTCTTTTGCTTCGATTTTAATAGAAAACTGACCGTTTTCGAAGTATACAAGTTTCGATTAATCAAAATAATACTTTATTGTATCAGTGAATTTAACTTCACTATGCATCCCAAGAGGTCATTTTCTTTCAGAGTGTATCACAATTTTGACCTCGTCTTATCATTTTCTCACCATTCCTAGCGGCTTCGAATCTCGGATGTGAGGGCTTCAATAAGCACACCATCTTAGCCACAGGACTCTAGCCTCATTAAACTTCCTGACTTAATCTCAACTTCAAATTCTCTGTTAATTTAGTCGCTTCTTTTGGGCTGACTGCATGTATTTTTTATTTTTCACTCTGGTAAGCAACTACAGAAGATTTCTGGTTATTTTCCTTCATTATTTCTGCCTGCTTAGCCTACCACGTATTTTATATCAATGAATTCATTTATCTTACGTTTTGCATTTGAATTTTTGACAATTGGGCAAGAATTAGGCCTGCGATCACAACACATCATATGCTGCATTCGCATTCAGATCGTCCATTCCTGAATTTCTACGGGCTGTCTTGTGTTTTGATATTTGTTAACGTCATTTGACATTCCTCTTTAATATAAAATGGGTTATGCGAAAAACAGTATCTCATTACAAGTAGACTAATTGAAATGATATATTTGTTTATAAAAAGGATATGATTGTCGTCAAAATCTGGTCCTCTTTTCCATTTTTACACAAAAACCATATCAAAGCTAGCAATAACTCCTCATTTTTCTCCCTCATTATTTTTTGTATCATCATAACTTTCAGTTTTTATTGATTTTTTTTGTTTGCATCCTTCTTTGCCCCTATATTATATGCTTTGCAATTATTATCCATTCGGGATTATGAAATCTGTATTTGAAGCCACGTTATCTTCAAAGCCTTTCCTCATGTTTGACTTGGCTTACTAATTTAATCCATCCTCAAAAATCCTTGACGGAACGCTCAGCTATAATTCAAATCACATATCATTTTGAGCACAGTCATCATCTTTAATAAATATGTATATTATTTATCTTTTCATTCAGATTGTACATAGAATCTCCAGTCCTCAATTTGTGGACCCCACCTCACTCTGTATTTGTCCATGCACTAATCGTATTCTGGTTGCTGATAACGGCGCTGGATGTGTTTTTGCCTGCCAGCCAGCGCTCAGCCTACTTGGAGGAAATAGAATTTTGGCTGGTGACACTGGCGGGAATGGCTCTACCTGCAACAGTACCGTGGTTTCAGCCCTAATTGGTGCCGGTTCCCTTAGTCCTGGAAACCAGAAGTTAGCCGGTTTGACATCATTTGGGCGGTCGGCCACTTTACAACCCGGAAGCAATCGTACCATATCTCGGGCCTCATTGGGTAGTGTGGGCTCTACTGGCAAGACAGCAAATGCCACCAGCGGAGACAGAAGTGGGACTGTCGGTGGAAGTCAGCTGACTGCCTCAGAAGTGTGCCAGCGAGTCACCGGGCTCTGCGCTACGCCAAAGGGTGACATTGTACTGGCTGCTGGCTCTTTGGTCCACGTGAGTTGATGTAATTTATATCTCTCTATTCGTCTATGATTGGTTTCTTTTTTATTAAGTTTTGGGAGTAACTTTTGGAATAACTACCTTTAAAATTTCTGTGTGACTTAATACGGCTTTCGTGGTCGTTAAAGGCCTGGACAGTCAGAAGGTCTTTTTACTAGACACATATTTTTTGCTATATACAAGTAACCTGCGCTTTGATTTCCTTCCCCGGTTAAGACAGGCGTCGAACAAGTCACCACACCAATACTCGCGAACATTGATAATGAAGGTATGATCATATCTTGTAAGTTAATACTCAGCCAAGACGCCGCTAATCATTGGTCAATGATGAAAATGGCTCATAGAATTAAGAACTTGTGCGATGTGTCACCCAATAAGCACCGCCTCCTTATCTCTTACTCTATGGCGAAGTTGATATTCCAAACTATTAATAAATTGTACGTCTGTATGCAGGCTTCTACAAAGGCCACACCATCTTGTTCTTCATATCTACGTTCTACAAAGCTTATTGAGCTCACGTCATCTGGCAAAGTTGCAAAACGAATATCAGCAACTTGATCAAAACCTGTATGGTATATCTAAACAACAAAGTTCGAAAACCAGCACAGACTTTTACCCACACTTTAGAGCCGTTCTCAAATGGGTTAGGCCATCTTCATATGGGCGTTTTCCGCCCACTGCTGCATTCCCAAAATAATTGATACTCCACCATTTCAAACCTTTCAATTCGATGACCTGCTACGATGCCCATTCAGGACATCTAGACAGAGACTATGGACAAGGCCTTGGCTATATACACTGGGCTTCTAGTTTTGGCTTGCCAACGAA